TGTGAATAATGTATTCTCTATTCTACAGTTTAAAAAATAATGCTCTTATAATAATACATTAACATACATGCCCATAAAGAATATCGCAATGGATTCACAATAATATTTCGTCCGAATTAAAGATCCGGTCACTGTTCTCTGCCAACTCGATGCATCAATAGTTTTTAATGAGCTGAAATATGCTGGCCTGACAAAAATCAATTTGGAAAGTCGTGATTTCACCGCAGGCATTGTAGTGCATATGACTTCAGCTGGTGATACACCCGTCATCGTGGATTTGAACTAAAACGAACCCGCCGTTGCACCTGGCCAAGATGTCATTATCAACGACATCTACATAAGGATAATATATATGTCATATAACTTATATATTATATTCACATGTCATGTCCCGTCTTCTGCTTCGACCAAGTGTGCGTCCAAGTGCTAGCCATGTCGCTATGTCGCGACAGCCGTTTTTTTATAGGATCACGAATTATTTTATTAATTACGCTGACGGTTTATGGCCGTTTTTGTTACATGTTCGCCTTAGCCGTAAGTTAACCTAACCTTTCAATGTACATTCGTATTTTGTTGTGGCACATTCCGCCTTGGGCGTCACTGTAGTGCTCCCGTCGAATTTATACATTTTATCAGCTTTTAGGTGGTTTGTCATGTTTGTTTGCATTCCGTATCGCTGTGTTCTTGCACGCCGTTCTCATACAATGACAAGTAATCCGCCCTTTTCCGTCCACGCATCATATATACCATGGTTTAGTGGTATACTACTATCGTGTTGCGTTTTCGTCCTTTGTCAAGAGTTGGTGACGGTGTAACAGGATAGTCATGGTATCGGCCCACTGAGTTCATTAAATTATATATTTCTATACTCATGTTTGTACTCATTTCTCATTATCATAAAAAGAAAAAGTTACCAATTAACACTCATAATTGGCCCATACTTTGAGTGACCCACCGAGATTTCCTCGGCAGCTTGCCGATTCGACCATTACCTGCATTGTTGAATGTCATACATTATATTCTTCTGATGTATCCCGGACGTTTTGTTTCATTCGAGGCTGTCAGCCTTATATCTGCCCTCGTATCACGATACATATTGTTACATACAACATATTACATTTAACTATTTAAATATTTGTTAGTGGTTACATAAACGATAAACAATTTATTATATACTACGAGGCATTCCTTGCTCGTGCGACGAACCGCGCGTTTTTGTTACCATATTTTTGATGGCCACACTACACGCTCTTTGCCGACCGCGATGGGATGACCGTATAATTATGTATATATATTTTTTTTTTAAACATTTATTAGAAGATATACCGTCTGTATGATAGTTACAATAAGCATATGAGCTGAAAAAAAAATAATACAGTTGACGATGAAATTGTGAGGGGAGTAGCTACCCATCAGTAACACTCGACGTGATATTTGTTTGGCTATTTTACATTATATGCATACACTTATGTTGGCATTTTTTATATATATATATATATATATATTAAACAGTGCTAGCTAATTAAATCATGACACTAGGGCCTCTTTAATCTTCTCGGTGGTTCGCCGGGAATGTTTGGGGAGTTGAGGGCGAGTATAAGCGGATTGGGATGGTTGGTAAGACGAGAGCGGTAGCGCTTATAGGAGGATGTGGGCATGTGGCCATGTCGGCTTCAGTTGGTAGTCTGAGATCTGAATGTAAAGTTTGGTTTGTAACGTAGAAGTTAGCGTTGGTAATTATTCGAAGTGATATTGATTTTTTTGCAGCTCTCCTCAATTGGATACCACAAGTCCAAATGGGCTTTAGGAATATATTTATAATATTCAAATAGTGATCCGTCCGACGTTAGATTATAATATAATATCACACATGCAGTATAGGAAGTGCAATCGTGCATTATTTACTCTTGATCCTATTCAGTGTATTACAACGTGTACTTGGGTAAAAGGGGATCCCTAAAACGGTCCCTCACCGGCATAGGCCTAACTTGGACTCTATTCACGTGGGGGCAAAAATAATTTTTGAGAATCTACACATGTCGCTGCGGATCCGATAACGCGGGCGTGAGCTGAAAATGGCTTCTACACGAGCCAAAACCGTTGAGAACTCTTCATGCGTGAAGATATGTGTCCCAATTACAAGCACCAAAAGACGTTTCGTCGACTGGACGGCTGCTTCCCACAGACCCCCGAAATGCGGGGCACTAGGCGGATTAAAGTGCCCCACACACAGGCGAGCAACCAGTGACAAAATACCTTTGTGAAGACGAGCGGCGGTTCGAGATTTAACGCACGACAAAAAGAATCTTGTTCGGGATGCCACGACAGACCCAACACCTTAGTGGCGTATCCGTCGTCATCCTCAAACGACATCGGGGCGCACACGTGATCGGCGGCCGGAACAGCTTGCAACACGGCAGGCATGTTCGATGCCCACTTTTTTAATTCGAGGCCTGACTTACTCAATAGTCAATACCGAAACCAGATCGGACTGGAGTTTCAACACGTCGGAAATTGTGTCAGCCCCGTCACAAATGTCGTCGACATACGTCTGATACTCAAGCGCGTTACGTACCGAATCTAAACCGTCGCAATCGGTAGACGCGATGACCTGCAAAACGCGTAAGGTGAGGTACGGGGCACAATTAACACCGTACGTTACAGTGCGCAACTCATATTCACGTAATTCATCGTGCGGCGACGCGCGCCACAACACGTGTTGAAATTTTCGATATTCCGGCAGAACTAAAATTTGACGATACATCTTGCAGATGTCCGTGGTAAACGTATATTTGTGAACGCGAAAGCGGGTTAGGACATCCACAGTATCCTGTTGTAATTTTGGGCCGGGCCATAAACACTCATTTAACAACGGTCCGCGAAGACACCGTGCGGACGCGTCGAATACCACACGAATTTTATTAGGATTGATTTCCGGGCGGTAAACGCTAAACAGCATGGTGGATTATGCATTGCCCCGGAGCGGTCACCACTGACATGTGTTCTAATGGAATCTAGGACAAAATATCCACGGACAAAATATCCAAATGTATCCGTAATTACGTAAATTAGTAGATTACACTTTACTTACTAATAAAATTAGCTCAAATATCTCAAATTACTAATTACTAATAGTAAAATAAATTACATTAATAGTAATAATATCACAATATATTTTGCACACGCGTTAGTCAAATAGTCAAATAATATGTCAACTGGGTACTACTGGACCACCATTGAAAAATAAAATATATGTTAAAACATCTTTGCGAAGAGTACAATGATGGAAGTAGGGACATTCCAAATTTTATAAATGCTATTGCTAATTTTACTAGATATTTAAAAAAAATGTTCTATTTTTAAAAACGTTTTTCTAAATTTTTAGAAAATAATGTATATAGTTATATTTTTTAACAAATTATTTACTATTTTATTTTATTGTGTGTTCATATTATTCATAAAAACAAATAATTTTACATTTTATTTTATATTATTTGACTAAGGTGTGTGCAGTATATTTTGTGATATTATTACTACTGACGTAATTTATATATTATATAATATATTTATATTTATATTTTTATAATGTGTAATTTACACGAATAGAGATGGATAGATTTGGGGATATTTTGACCGATTACCGTCATAATGCAATATATTTGGTCATAAAATTAACATATACATATTTTAATACTGGATCCGCGGACAGTTTACACTCGATGGTGTCAAAACGTCGTGTAGCTATCTCGCGAGACCTGACGAATGTTTCGGTCGGCGAGCGAAACGGTAACGGAACCGCGAAGCGGCCCGATGTCAAACGCGCATCTTCATCGCGAAATATCTGTTCGCAGCACCCTTCCTCGGTGAACGTAACCGGCGCGTTCTCGGACTCCTCGACATGCCAAAAGCACTCCATTATCCCCTCAATGGATGCGGTCATACAGACCGGCAACGATTGATAGCTACAATTTGCGCGATCGGGGACTGGGCCGATAAGGATCCACCCGAACACCGAACTGTCCGAACTAAAAGCCATGACAAAATAGATCTATTTTGTCATGCTAAAAGCGGTGGGTAATGTGCTGTCGTTCGACACCTTACGCTCGTCCATGATAGTACCCACGAACTACTACATAGGACTGGACACTGTATATAATAAGGTGGCTACAGAGTTGTACGGCGGTCGTACGTTCGCTACGTAACTGCACTCTAGTGTCTAGTAGCGATTTTTTTATACTGTGCTGTTGAAAATTCTTTTATGTGATAAGTCGTAGTGACTAGTGATAACAGAACAATGAATAACCATCACATATTCAAAAATTAAAATCAGTACTCAAACTTATTATATTTTATATTTTAATTAATAAAGTAGTAAATATTTATGTAATAAATGCACATTACTACCTACGTTGCTACCAATTTGTTCATAAAAGTTAAATACGAAATGTAGTAATTTAGTACATCACTAGATAGCATCACAGTCGCAAACGTACGTAACCGTACAACTTTGTGACCGGGGTCCCACCCTCCTCCTGCCATAAGAGTCCAGTCCTATGTAGTAGTTCGTGATAGTACCGTATACGTCCCCTCCCAACGGCTATAGTCCGCGTCACGAAAAGTGGCGGGTGCCCGCTGCGATCCAAGCGGACTATTTGCTTTAGTGGTTATCAAACAACAATATAATTTACCGCGCTTTTTCAAATACGCCTCTATATTAACCTTAAAATGAACTTACTATTTTACCTCCAAATTGTATTTAAGTGATAATACGTATCGTAAATTATAATCACAACACTACGTATCAACGTATTTTACCATTGATTATTTACTATAAAAAAAATATTCCAATACAATTTGAATGAAGGTTTCATCAGTTATCTTATTATATTTTTTATAAATTGATAATAAAAACAAAACAAACATAACACATACATTATGATAGCAGAATAAAAAAATAAATACACAAGTAAAAATATAATTATAAAATGTTATTGCGAATTTTATTCCGAATTTCCTTCTTCGTCACTGGACTCCCCCCAATCGCTGTCATCAGGTAACAAAGTCAATATGATTGGCTCCAACATACTGTCTCTCATAATTTCTTTTTCGTTGTCTTCATCTTGCAATGCCTCTGCATGTCTCACGCACTTCTCCCAATCATGTTGAGTTACCGAATCCAATGCTTCGTGAGTCAACTTTTCTATATCGACCATTTTGCATGTTTTATTTTTTGTCGCCACTTGATTTTTTACCTGGGCCCATATCAGCTCAATTGGATTGTATTGGCAATGGTACGGTGGAAGTCGAATAACTTCGTGGCCCATTTCCAATGCCAATACATCCAATTCATATTTTTTTTCAAATGGTATTAACGCTTTAACTTTCTGTCTAAGTTCAGCTAAATTTTCTAATGGTGAAAAATCGACATTTTTTTTGGTCAACCAAGCCTGCACATCTGCTTTTCGCGTATTACTTTTGGGAAAGTTATCGTTGAGGGTTGAATGATAAGATGCATTATCCATAACTATCACGGACGGTTCTTCAAGGCTGTTCAGCATTTGGGTGAACCAAGATTTGAATACTTCAGAATTCATTTGGCTGTGGTAATCCGTAGAATTGCCAGTATTA